TATGTTTTGCATGCCTTAGCGGTTAGACCATTGACCACGCGTCCTCGGGAAGACGGAGCATTGTTCCCACAGGACCGACCACCCATGGTCAATCGTTCCTTTCTACTTTGCCGAAGGTGGCTTAAAAATGTCTCCCCCAGTCTGTCTATCCTAACGATATCCCTTCCCGCCTTTTCAACCCACCTCCAATGCCCCAATACAGCTACCGTCCTTTCCTTTCTATTCCATGCCTCAAACATCTACCTGTACGTCCCATCTATTTTTCCCAGCTCAGTCACGTACACTTCCCTCCTTCTTGTACAACGGACATTCCGCGACTACATGAACACGGTCTTCGCATTCGAAGCCGCAATCACATTTGAACTTGACATCTTCGTCGTCTACCGTCCTCTGTCTTCGTCGACGTTCTCGAAGGCCTATGTCCCCGGTCCTGAATTTGACCTTAAGCTTTGTTCCTGCATCCATTGGTCCATGTAGGTAGTCCTTGAACCCTATTCCTTCCTTCAACCCGTACACTTCTAGACCCTCCTTATCCTTGAACTCTTTCCTTAGATTCTGTTCTTCTCTCTCGGCACAAGCAACAGATATCTTCTCCTTGAACCCCTGTAGACCCTCCGTTTCCAGCGTTTCATCTTCGTCGATGTCGAGCCCCTTCCATACGTCCTCTACAACCTTGACCCATTCCGTGGGTTGTCTACCCCTCTTTTTGTTTGCCCACTTCGCCTCCCATACAATTCTCGGCAACCTCTCCTCTCCCATCCCGCACATGCGATACTGCCATGTCAGCTTCCTCGCGTCTCTTCCCGACCGTAGGGATTGGATCCCCAATTCTGCCCTGACGGCTGCATTACTTGTGCGCTTGGAGCATCCTAGGATGATTTTCGCTGCTTTCATCTGCGCCGCCTCGAGTTCTTTCACTACCTTCTTATTTCCTTCCCATACTTCTCCGGCGTACTCTAGCGGCGGTACGATTACGCTCTTCAAAACCGTCAATTTGATGCGTGTATCGAGGTGCCGGTTTGCGAGTATTGGAAGCGAGGAGGGTGGGGGCAAAAAACGGAAAGTTGTGCATGCCGTGATTTTTCCATTCCGAAACAAACGCGAAGCTGGCGCCATCACGTGAGGGCTTCAAGACCCGGACCAGGTGACAGGTCGAGCCTCCATCTCTCTCACGGCACACAACAGCTGCAGCAGCAAAAACGAATCATACCCGGCCGAGAATGACAATCCATGCACACCGCATTAGGGGACACACCACGCACAACGGGTGGCCAGATATGTTTTTTTATTGTTGGTTTTTCTCCCATCATTGGACTCTGTCGTCTGCCCCTCTGGCCCCTATCCTCCACTTCTACCAGCTAGACGACCCAACCGGGGTCACATAGGAGGGGGGGGTTGGACCCCCTCCTGCGGTTCCTCCCTGAGATATTTTTATCGCGAGAAGGGTACATCAATCACTTCCCTCGCGACTTATGAAGTCGATCAAGTTTACTAACAACGAGCTTTGCAGCGCGTCGCTTTCAACGGAGACCAGGATTTGATAAGCGAGAAAAAACTCACTCTGCCGGGACTCGAACCCATGACCTGGCCCATAGCAGGCTGCGAGGCTACCCACTAGACCACCGGGGCGACCGGTTTGTTGCACAAGATATATAGGGCGATGATTGACCGCAGCCAGCCTCCCTGGAATAAAACAGGCACTTGTAGACCGCGAGTAGGTTTCCCTCAAATTGTGCACGTTCACAGAGGATCTTA